TTCCGTACACTAACTCACGACACAATACAACAGCACACATTATCAAAATTGGTTTTAAACCAAGATATATCTATGTATATTGTGTTCACTAAGAAATATGTCGCTAACAAAGTGAATTAACTGATGACCTGTAGGGGTAAACCTCAGTCTGGTCCGTGGTGACGTAACAAATATGGCGCAGATGACAGGTGTGCGCAGGCGCAGACGTGGTCATCCACACAGTGTCACTAAATGACCTCTTCGGATTGGTCAACGACGTGACCTTGTGGGACGTCAATGTCAAAGGTGTGTTGTCAAGGTCATCGTAGTTACGTCACTCAACTCTAGCAATTGTACAAGAGAATCTGTTCAGAGTTCGGAAATGTAAAATAGTGTATCCTAGATATGTTTATACAGTATATACATGTACGTCGATGAAGGTTAGACATCCAGGTAATACGTATACGATACGCCAAAAAAGCAGTTACTCAAGCAACCGGATATGATTTTGAAAACGTCAGACGTTTCAGCTAGTATCCACTAGCTTTCGTCAGTGACAGTATATGTTTATGCATGTATAATTTCGGCCTCCTGAAATAACGGATTATGGGTCAGGGCGATTCTTTACAGAACCCACGTCGCAATTCCATCCCGATATTCAAACACCGTTAACACTGATCACGATAAACTCAAGACAAACATCAGCATGGAGTCCAGGCTTGTTAGCTCGCCAAGAGCGGCTACCGTGCCAACAAGGATCACGGGGAGCTAAAGTCCTTGGGAAAGGCACTTAGACGACTTTCCTCACTTAACTCAAGTGAGAATGAGTATTGTGACCTGTACTGTATTTGTCCTCTGCGTTGGTGGCGGCATAAAATGAGTCTAGTCATGAAATTCTGGAATATGAAAAGAGACTAAAGCCTGGACTCCAGACTGTTATAATATAAATGGCACCCAAAGGGATTTCAGGGCAGTAGAACTACATTTTTAGAGTCAATTTTGAGTGGCCACCTTCTTGGTGTAGTAAGTTCAATCAAAACTATCTGATGCTTGTTTCGTAAAGTAGGCTTGTAGCTCTAGCTACATATTGGTGGAACACATAAATAAAGAAACTCCTTACGTACAGTATTTTATTTTTGGGGGGTATTTCAAAACACTTTAAGTGTGAAATGATAACGAAAATGTGCTAAGGAATGGTGACAAATGTCAATATCAAACAAAGTTCAAAATGCAGAATATTTTAATGCTCTTAAATTGCCTTGTAGGATAACTTTGATATCACTAAAAACTTGAAGCATATTCCCTTGTTCTAAACATCAGGAACAGAGACTCTGCTCCAATGCTAGCGCTGCCTGAATGAAGACGTTACCAGCTTCGTCTACACTAGCAGTCGGTTAGCTGTGGGGCCAAACCGGCGGGGCGACCCTGTGGAGGATGGGGACGAGAGCACGCCGTACGACAGCTCGTCCCCAGTGCTGTTTTACGGCCGGACGAAGGCGGCTGCGGAATCGGCTGTTCTGAGGTCGAACGGGCGGCGGACAAATGGCGGGAAAACTCTGCACACCTGTACCTTAAGGCCGGGAGGTACGTCAGAACCACAAGTGCCAAATCTACGCTCTCCGATGGCTTTTAAGAAAGGAAAAGAAAGAAAGAACGAAAAGGAAAGAAGAAAGGAAGAAAGAAGAAGAAGGAAGGAATAAAGGAAGAATGGGGATTACTAAAGAGTTAATGCCCCGCCCCAAGGTGTATATGGTTAGATGATCCCTGGTCAGGTGCGATAGCCGCCGAATAAACCACCAAGTGAGCGTAGCAAACGAAGTGGTTTATGAGGTGGTTATCGCACCTGACCAGGGATTATATCACCATATACACCGAGGATAAGGTGGGGCAACAACGTTATTATCATATAGCTTATCCAACTGACGCATTTTTTACACAAACTCCTTTATAAACAAATTTCTCAATTGCCAAAAATCTATCACATTCTAAATTACGTAAAAAAGATGGCATGGACAGAAAACAGATCATCTTTGCAGTAATCTGCGGTGACCACTTGATATTCGAACAGTGGGTGTCAAAAATTATTTTCAGTCTTTTTCTGTTAAAATTTAACTTATATCTTTTCAATTTTGTTATATTCTTCAAATAAATTATTCAAAATAAACTACAATAAGTTTATAATAGATAGATACTAAAAGTGTAATTGGCCTGTTTATTCTAATAACCGACCACTTTTTAGGTTACGGCCTGAAAACCAATGGGGAATGGAGCCTTTTGATTGGTGGACGCCTTCTGGCTATATGTTAAATACAGTTTATCCTGAAGACGACCATATAAATAATAACGAGCCCTTTTTAAATTTTCAAAGCTCTGTTTGTTGCAGGCCTATATGGTGATGGTGAATGGAGTGCGTATAAGATGTGGCGGGACTTCGGCGTGGATCCGTTCGCCGGGCCCCTCAAACACCTCAGTCATCCCAAGGTCAAGAGCGAATGTTTGTACGCCGGGAACGTCGCCTGGGCTCACCTCCTGGCCGCTCAGACGCTGGTGACGTCACCAAGCACCGCAGGCGGGGAGGCGTTCTTCATAACCGACGACACGCCGGTACAGAACGAGGTTACGAGGTACAACGAGCTATGCGCCCCTATCGGAATTCGTTGGGACGACAGCTTAGTTCTTCCTCTCTGGGTCCTATACTTCATCGCTTATGTTCTCGCTTTCCTGCGTTTTCTCTTGAAACCGTTTTACAACTTCGTTCCCCCTATAACTCCGGCTTTGCTGACACTCCTGAACACGACCTTCTACTTCAACTGTAAGAAAGCCAGGCGTCTTCTCGGCTACAAGCCGCTCTTTACCTGGGAGGAATCAAAGCAGAAAATGCGAGAAGGACTGCAGGAATGGAAAACTAGGAAGTTCTCGCATGGCCGTGTTTAGTAGACTTCTAGTGGGGGAGCGTTTGTTTCTTCGAGCGGCTAGAGTGGCGGTTCCTTTCGGTGGGAGGGCCTTGTTTGCGGTAGCGCTGCATCCACGGAGATTCGTAATAACTCCCATTGCCGCGCATTTTTAGAGATCCCTTTAGTCCGTGTAAAAATCGTGTATCATCCCCCCCTCCCCCCCAAAAAAGGAACGCCACCGCTCCAAAAAATCTGCAAAGTAAAATACATAAGTAATTTAGTAACCTCTACCAGGCTTTTGGAGGCGGTAACCTGTTCTCTTTGCGAGGGCTTGGTCTATTTGGCCAATTTCTACTCTTTCCAGCCATTTTCTGAAGCCTGATATGGACTAAGCATATCTATAATCGAAATAATAAGTTGCTAGGTGGGGTGGGGGGCTCAGGTGCACTTCAGCTTTTGTCTATCTGGTTGTATTTACATACATATTTCTATCGTTAAATGGCGCTGACAAAATAAGTTGAAAAACTTGAGTTGAGCGTCACTATACCTTGTTGTTATTTTAAATAAAAGGCTAGATGTACAGGCCATGTTTAGGTAGTTCTGTGGACGACGTACTACAGAGAAACAAATCTTGATTATACCAAGCAACTATATCTCACAACATTGGAACGTCTACATGATGTGTATGGGATAAAATACACTATTCTCTTCACAGAGATAAAATGCTAAGATCACAAATGTTATAAACCAACTTGTCCATTAAAAACTGACAGAAAAGTAAATGAAAATATAGACAGTTGAATGAAAATGTCAAATGATACCAAACAAAGACCGTAAAATACATACTAATATCGGATGTGTGCATACAATATAGTCACTTGAAGTTTGTTCCAAATATGATGACTGTGGAAATAAGCTTGTACGGCCTTCTAAACGTGAATTTTTGGAGACTCTAGCAAGCTTCCCAATTGCCTACTATGTATGTAAATTAACCCTCAAATAAATCCCATGAAACATTTTGGCACAGACCAGTAAGCTTCACCGAATTATTTCTAAGAGCCCCCCCCCCCAAATGAGTGTTGGCTTTGCATCTGGACACTCAGTTGAAGTTGACCACCTGTTGGATTGCGCCATTTCTGTATTCCATTCTTCAAAACTAGGTTTGTGGCATATCGGTGTCAGGAAAATGTCTTCGGAGAAACTTGCCATGGACCGAGGTGAGTTATCACAGAAAAAAATATTCTCTACGCCAAATTTTCTTCACCGTTCCACCACCCGACAGAATAGTAACTTCTTTTATAAGAATGTTTTACCTTTTCTGATACTTGATCAGTGTTCTAGCGAGCGCCGTCTTTCCGAATGAATTTTGAAGGAAACAGAGTTACAGAGGATCAAGATTTGAAATCTTTCCAGGCTAGCATGCCCCTAGGATTGTGATGTTGCGTCAAACAAAATTGAGATGAAAGAAATTTTAGATAGCTAGAGCGCTGTACTGGTTGCACATTGTTGAAAATGAGGAACTTCATTATGTTTTCCTTTATTTCTATTCAGGTTTGGAGGGTGGGTACAAGTGTCCGGGCGGGCGGCGGACAGGACTGGTGCTCCTGGCGGGAGGCTGTCTGGGCGCGGTGCTGGTGTACGCCGTCCTCGTGCCGCTGGTCTACGTCACCATGTCAGACCTGCAGCGGGAGGTAACACTGCTCAGCAACCTTGTGATAAGGATCCGACTGGATATTATTTCAAATTGACTGTTCTGTGATCACGAAAGACAAGACCTGTTTAAAGAGGCCAACCCATACTTTATTCTAATTTCTCCACGTTGGGAGAAAAAAAGAAAATTGTTTTAACATCCCTATCATTTAGCGTCAAAATGTAGACTATAGAGTAGTCACTTTTAAAGTAATCTACATAATCAAATGAACCTTAAGCACTTCACTTGCAATTACCAGTATATAGCCTCCTGTTAGAAGTAAAACTTATTAGACAAAAAAGGAATAAAAAGCAGTACTTTTACGATAATTACAAGGACCAGAACAAGATCCCTGACTCTGAACCCAGGCCAAGCTCTCAACAACAACATAAAAACCATCATTGCAACCGTGAGAAAGTGGAAACAATATTGTTCCCATGTGTATTTGGGGTGGGAAGTTCTGTATTGTCTACTTAACCAGTGCTGTAGCAAGCCTGATTTTTCCCCGCCATCTCAGTTTTCTTTGACGTAACACCATGTCAAACTAAGAAGGCGCGGCAATCCTAGACTTTTGGGTAAGGCCATGTTGATTTGATTATATGGATGACATCCACGCGCGCATGAATTTTCGGCCGTTTCCAACAAAAAAAGTTTTCAACCAGACTGTAAATCGTGCAAAACAGTTGCTAAATAAGCAAAAATATACCATACGTTGAAAGGAAAACATTTAGAAACGATACCAATGTCGTAGAATGCCAAAATCAAAGGAAAAAAGACAAAAAAATGTAAAGAAATGAATTCGAAGAGTAGATTATTCGCCATAACATATTCTGTGCAATTTGTTCAACCTTCATGACCACGTAGATTTCATAGTGAAAGCAACTTTTTTTTTGCAAAACTTTTTTTTTATTCGCACGCGCGCATCAGTTTTGGGGTTCCCAGTGGATGTCATCCATATAATCAAATCAACATGGCCTAATCAGGAGACATTCTCCCCCTGGGAAATCTTGAAATCTAGACCCTATGTCTGAAACACTATTTTCTGCATAATGAGGGGCAAATTTTACTGGTAGACTAAAATCTTCGTTTAAAACATCACTTTCTATATTTTTACATTTTTTTTAAACTAAAAGATGACGGGTTGGACAAAATTTCTGTCATGAGCAGCAAAAGTCCGTCAAATGACTGAAGACAAACACTGACTAGAACACTGCTACTTCAGTCGTTCATACCAATGTCTTTACATCATATAACAGATTACCCGTTCTGCGCAGACCGCCTTAGCTGGTACAGAGGACCGGCAGAACGGCATTTCTGCGGGCGGGGCACCTCGAGAGCGGAGAGCGGCCGACGCGACGCCGCCAAACCATGTCGTGTACGTGCGGTGGGGGAGGGAGGACTGTGGCGAAAACGCAAAGAATGTCTACTCCGGTAGGTCAAACAGAAGACCCAAGTTATTACCTCCATGAAAAATGGAGGTATTGTTTTTGGCGCGTCTGTCTGTGTGTGTGTGTGTGTGTGTGTCTGTCTGTCTGTGCGTTTGTGTTTCCGCACATTTGTAGTCAGCATAACTTCAAAACGCCTTTATGGATTGTGATGATATTTGGTATGCTGATAAGTATTAGAAAGATGAAGGTCAAGGTCAAATATGGGTCTCCTGGTGGATGACCTTGGTACTGCAGCAGAACTTACGGTTTTTGTATCTTTTGCCCTGAACATGCTATGGTGGAAAAAGTAGAAATCGTCAAAATTGAGAGATAGCATGCCAGGAGAGTTTGTCCGTTGAGAGAACAATTCGCCGCAATCCAAATTGTTCTCTCAACGGACAAACTCCCTTGGCATGCTTATTTCTCTATTTGGCCGATTTCTACTCTTTCCCGCCGCCTCCCCAAGCCTGGTAGAGGCTACAATATCGCCAGAGCACTAGAAAAGTAAAGTATTCCTGCCATGCCACTGACAGGTGCTGTGGGCGGTGGATTGTACAGCCAGTCGGGAGGGGGAAGTGACTACCAGTGCCTCCCCCTGGAAGATGTGGAGTGGAACAACCCAGTGGCTGGTAATCAGCACGGAAGCTACATGTACGGGGCAGAGTACCATGTGAGTGCTGAGTACTTCTCCACTGACAACATGAGGCACATCACCAACCCTCATAACTACGACGTCCCCTGCTCGGTGTGTCTCGTGTCCGGTCGGTCTGCACACGTCATGATCCCCGCCCGCCTGTCCTGTCCTCGGGGGTGGAGTAAGGAGTACAGCGGCTACCTCATGTCGGGAGCCTTCAACGACGCGAGCAACAAGAACTTCATCTGTGTGGACGGAGCTCCAGAGCTCAGGCAAGGTTCATCTGCCGACCTAAACGGAGCCCTGCTGTTGCTGGTGGAGGCGCAGTGTGGCTCTCTTCCCTGTGGACCCTACATCAGCGGCTACGAGCTCACCTGTGTGGTCTGCACCTTGTAAACTGATATTTGCTGAACTAGACGACTACTAGCCTCCTTTGTAGGTTAAGTTACGGGTGTGGTCAGTGCTTTTCATAGGTGTGTGTGGGTGGGGGGGGGGCACTGATTTTCTTGGGAAGGTGGTCACAGAGATGCATGCAATGATTGAAGTGCTATTAGAAAATTTTACCCATCATAGTGCAATCAAAAGTGCACATCAGCGCCCCTCTCCCCACCACTCAACGTCAACCACACCACAAGCGCCTGCAGAGGAGGATAGGCGAGAACTTCACTGTTTTTTTTTATAAAGTGTGACACTGCATGGTTTGTGTGTTATGTTATAGTGATTATGCTTAAAATCTGTAATAAAACGGATGGATCAACTGGCTCATTCTCACTATTCAAATGTACGGAATTCCGGGATTGACGGAGGTTGCTGTAATATTTTAGATTTTTGGCGGTACTTTTTTTTTCGGGTTTTTTGCTGTCACTTCTGCTCGGCGAACTTGTCATTACCGTTACCAAATAATTCGCCAAATTTCTCTTTTCTGCATCCGGCGCCACCGTGAATATACAGGGATACAGATCCGTGTCCGTACACACCGGGTCCTACCAGGCCCTGGGGTCCTACATTTTCCTCAGACCGCCAACTTTTACTACCATGAACATACGTATATTGCAGTGTTGCAAGTTCTTCTGCTAGACTGTAGTGAACCGTAGTCGCACATTGGACTTCAGCGGAGCTTCATCAAAAATCTCCTTGGTTTTATTGTGTTGCCTCCAGGACTCCTAACACTAGCCTATACCAGGCTCTGCGCAGATCGCTGGAAAAATAGTAGAAATTGGCCGAAACAAAAGGATAGTAATAATAATAACCTTTATTGTACATTCATGCCGGTATCGGGCTAAGAACAGGTGAACAGATGAAATGGGTAATATACATGTTTGTAGTACAAACAGCTCTAAAACTACTCTAATACAGAGGTTCGGCTTTTTCTCGTTTCTTTGTGATGTTAAAAATGTAATTTGAAATGGCTTTGTATAGTACAGGATGATCAAAGCGCATAAGAACGATAAATTTACTTTGTTTGAGCTACAAAATTGACAAATCCTTTGCTCCAGAGGTGTGATGGTATACCAGAGAAGATATTGGGTCGCTGGGTTGAACTATTATACTTGTAAGATAGGGGAGTTTTACAACAAGACTGCTCTACGTCTAAAATAGGGGGTTTCTTGTGTGGTAGTGGACAAAAGGTTCATAGTGGGACTTCACAACATGCAGTACAATGTGCAGCACCTGTTATGCTGAGTGAGTTGGCTCACTACTGTCCAACTGCTCTCTCCAAAACACAAATGACATGAATTTGAAATGTAATTGCGACATGCTAATTGCTTGTAGTAAGCATTGAAAAGTTGACCATTTCAGATATTGGCCGAGTAGAGAGTCGGACTCTTTAAATCAAATATGGACATAAAAACATGGACTGGCATTTTACAAAATAGAGACCCCGCCATCATAATGGAACAGTCCGAACCCCAAGATATCCCGTCATCCAGGTAGGCTTTAGTATGCGATTTGGAGAAATTCGAACGTCGCGTTTCACCATATCGCATGTCGATTTTGGCCACCAGAGAGCGGAGACGCGCAGATCGGCCGTGTGTGCAGGCCATCATAGGTGTGCGAATTTCTCCGCTTGAAGGCGGGAACTCGCAGATCGCTGAGATGCGATCGCACGTATGGGAACTGCTCCGAAATGTGGTGTGGCCTGATGACATCATATATTTACACTGGGGATTTTATAGCTAGACCAAATGCAAATCGCAAAGTTTGATTAAAACTGTCTTAGTATTAGTCAGAAAGTTAACTTGTTGCTTTCTTTCCTCCACTCACAGAGTCTGCAACAGGACCGAGAGGAGTTTTCGTTGAGAAACACTGAATCGCCGATAATATCCACGTAGAGTCGGCGACATATTTACAATGTATTTCAAATATTTCTGTATGATTTTGAGGGGTGTACAGTAAAATTACAATGTTGACGAGCGTGTGATGGTGGGGCCATCTAAATGGCGAAGTTATGATTATTCATAACTAGGGAGGGTCGCCGAAAAGCATGTGTGAATTGGTCAACAACTCGAAGCAAATATCGGAGCAAAGTACTAGTATTCTTTACCGATTGTTATTCCTTTTACCGGCTGATTGTTCCCTTTATCGCGGCCTCAAACTTGTGGCTATAACTTAGCCCATCTGCGCTACATTTTATTGCGTGCTAGAATATTAAGGTGGTCCTCTAATGCTAACTTCTATCTACAGGGGGATTTACGACAATCGCCGTAACTTCCCTCTCTACCAAAATAACAAGATGGCGACGGTTATGTTGTGACGCTATCCGGTCGTTCATTGTGGTATCGGCTTGGCGACTTTGCGGTAAGTATTTTGATAGATATTAAGATAGAGAGAAATTTTTTGTACATATTGTTCATCTATATTGATATAAAAAGAGGATTCAGTCAAAAACCGCAGCGCAAAATATCGCGGCCGGAGCCCGACGTTATACATGACAAGGTTTGCGCTGGGATTTTTTTTCAGACCAAATACAAATATATATACCCTCAAAGTTGGTTGAAACTGGCAGTTTGGTAAGGCTGTCTTACTATTAGTCAGTACCGGTAAGTTAATTGCCTTCTTATATTTTCCTACACTGCACCCAGGAGGACTATTCGTTGAGAAACTTTTCATAAATCACCGAAAATACCGAGGTAGACTCGGGGACAGATTTATCTGAAGAGTATGCCTAGAGTTAATTAGAGTAGAATCTTCGGGTAGGAATGACGTCTGTAGTATGCTGTGAAATTATAACGTTAACGTTGGCGAGAGTGTAATGGCTGGCCCGTCTAAACTACGAAATATTACAAGTACCGGTAAGCTGACTGGGCGATGCTGGCCACGCCGATCAACCTACGGTCCACGTGTTGCCGGTAAGGTGGGCTACCCTGGCCCGAAGAACCCACTGATAGCACTCAGGGGCTAACCGCAGGCATCAAGGAAGTTCTTTGACCAAGAACAGGTAATGTTATAGCATATACATTGTATATGCAACAACAGGAAGTAGGTTGTTTTGTGTATGTGTATCCAAATTTATATGTTGAAGAATCTAAATTTCCTTCGACAATTTGTCTAAAAGACGCCGAGCTTGTATGGGGTGACGCACGCATTCAAGGGGTCATTGTCCTCTGAAGGAACGCCCCAGAATGCACCGCGTTTTGCCAAAATGCTCCATGGTCTTCCTTTTGCTCTACTTCTCCTTGCGCAAAAATGCAGGGACCTTGAGCTAGAAGGTATGGTAATAGGACGCTTGCTTCACCTTCGGTATTTCGACCGTGAAATTGATAAAGGTAGAAAACTTCGAGAGAGTACGTCTGAACACAGGTAATTAGACCTTGGTCCGAAGAATTTGCAACAGGTAGACTATCAATGATTGGCTGGAAGTCACCGTATGTGGACATTTCTATCATATTATTGGTTGTCACACCTTATGAAATATTGCTGTTGTTTTCTTAGGGCATCTGGTGGACAACGCCACGCACTTTATTGTTAGGCAAAGGTTGTTATTGTTTGGTGAGGTTAATGTGTTCATATTGAAATTTCCCGCGTCGGCGGAGTGCTTTCCCACCGAACAGGTTACTTGCTCGCATTGTGTGGTGAGTAGATAGTTTAATTAAGAAGAAAAGGCTTAACCTAACTAGTCTGACACTGTCTGAAAATTATGCATAGTAGGCAATGTCAAAGAATTTTCTATCGGAGGACATGAAAATCAAAGACTTTACCGCACAATCAATATTTTTTTCGTCGGTTCATACGCCGACATTTTACAATATTCCAAGCTATAAGCTTATTCTACGAATACAAACTACAGAGTACAAACACATCATTCTCTGTTTTTTGTTAGACTTCTAGTTAAACAAAAAGTAGGAAATATTTATTCTCTGTAGCTATGTGTAATGCAAACCTTTTCCAGGGCGCTGTGTGCCTGATGATCTCCCCAGCATCTACATGCGATCACTTACCTTTGGATGTTATCCTGCCTGTTGAACATACTTACCGGAATTGAATTGGTGGCGCAAACTGCCGTCTTGACCACGTCGACCGGTGGGATTCTAGCTGAAAAAATACTGCACAGACACTTCTAAAAAATTACCAAATGTCCTTTTAAGCAAAAACTACCAGAAAGATATGTCTATAAAATGTCTGTGGAATATACAGTTATAACCGAAGAACACTTAGTCTACTTATTGTTTGTTTGCTTTTTTTTACCGACGAGCTGGGCAGGTGCTCTGGCCGGTGCTCCGTTCGTGCAAACCAGGATTAAAAATACACAGAAACAAACATTTTCACAAAGACCAAGTAGGTTACTATGTACTTCATGATGCCGTTGTAAGACCATGTACATGTACCAGCCGTCTATGGGGTCGTCACGCTGATTACAGCGTCACAGCCCACTCGGGAGCCTGCACTGGGGTGGGCTCAGCGGCGGGCCGACTTCAGGCGGTTTGTTTGTTTGTTTGTTTGTTTCGCATAACCGGTAAACCGCCTTCAGGCGTAACACACCAGTTTTGTACATGTGCGCACATGTACAAGCTGCGTAAGACCGGACTGTAAGTTTTGAACCACTCACACCGGGAAGATCCCCTACTCTTTTCGATAAGTGCGGTGGGTTCTTTAACGTGCATGGGGTGTGGCTCTCCCAAACACGGGACCTCCATTTAACGTCCTATCCGAGGGACGTCCCTAACCGAAGCTAGGTACTCATTTTCACCTGAGTGAAGTGAGGAAAGTCGTGTAAAGTGCCTTTCCCAAGGGCACAAGATCGGTGACATGGGCAGGGTTCGAACCCACAACCTCTCAGGTGTGAGCCGAACGCGCTACCGACTGCGCCACACGACCCCGGTTGGCCCTGTTAGTGGCTCCGCAGGTCATGCGCGTTCCGGCTCTTGGGTGGAGAGTTTCACACAGATCGCGATCTGCGCGTTTCCGTCTACAG